TTTTTTTTTATTCTAAAATTGCTTCCTTTTTCTTTCATGCTCAGAGTCTGAATCTGAATGTTCGAATTCCGATTCTTATATATCTATCGTTGAAAAATGAAATGGAAACTCATGTAGTCACACCACAAAACTACCACTACGCGCGCGTTCATCTCTATTTAATTGTTTATATTTAACTCGATCCTATGTTAAAAGCTAGATTCATACCAATAATTGTTCGTGTTAATTTCATGCGGGTCTCATTAACGGGCATACAACCCTCTCCCCCTTAGTCCGTCGAAATTATCCCCAGCACTATTGAAACGTGTCTAATTAATAACCGATCGGGCCGATAATAATAATTGATATCTGTCACTAGTATTATTATAAACAGAATTGGTTGTAAACATATTTCGATCGCATAAACGGTGAATTTTGGGCAGAACGGCATCACGGAGGGACTCGGAATGAGTTGGGGTTAACGAACTCTACTACGCATTAATTACGGATGGTCCCGGTGCGATTAAATAGACGCTAATGAAATATGGCGCTCAATTATTCGCTGTTTGAACGAGAGAAATTGATAACTTCTCCTGGTCCCACTGGTACTACTCATCCCAGCCCTGCGGTACCAATTGAATTCGTCATGAATTTTACAGTATTTTTTTTATTAAAAACAAAAAGGGAATGTTCAACAGCTGACGGATGCGAATTTACTCGATGAATATTGAAAACCATTTGATATTTTCTCAGTAGTGCTTCAATTTTAATTAGAGTGAAATTTCCAATATTTTGACGTGCCCATCGCTGCAATCGCGAGCTCAAAAATTTAACGATGAATTTTAATAATTCCACATATTCGCTATTGTGGCAATGAGCATTCGCCTGGCTTTAATTAATTCAAATGAAACCTCTCGAAGCTAGGGAAGCGAGTGGTGAAATTATAACGCGATTTTTTCATCGTTGAAACCCAGGAGAATGAATTTTTTCTCATTTTCCCGTGTCACACTGGCCATTTTTTTTTTCTCCACGCTTGAATGACGTTAATTCTCTTTTGTCCATGCGCAAGGGGGTAAAAAATAGAAAAGACATTGACAATTAAAATTGTAAAGTAATTCGAAGAGTGACAGAGCCCTTTAATCTCACGACACACGGACGAACGAGTTATCGATTCGGTCGATCCCTCGACCCAGGATAGACCACCGATAATTGCTCCATCCGAGGTACATACTAGGTGTACAGAGAGTTGAATCATTTCTACGTGTCGATATACTGAATATCGATTCAACCAGAAAATACCGCAAGACATCCATAACTGACGTACTAGCATTTTATTGTAACTGGAAATACGAGATTGGATTCAATTTCAAATAGTAATTGAGATTTTTTAATTATCCTCCATTTTCCTATATTCGTATTTTTCTAATCTCAATTTGAATTGATAATTCTCCGAGATTTCATCAACGCTCTCGATTATATAGTTTTTTTTTTCGATTGTGGAATTATCTCGGATAAAGTTTAGTGTCCACTTCATTTGAATGAAGTATCTCTCGGGTCTAACGCAATAAACCTGATTCAATCGAGAGGATAGTGCACTCGAGGCACAGGTGGCACTATGATTGGAGGATGAAGTCCACTTTATGCGATTATGCACGTGATTTCAACATTACCCGTATGTATATCAATTCAACGATTTCAAAGGCCAGCCGTGATTCATCATAATATCGATTTGCATTGGAGCAATAACGGGGAATTCCCGATAAATTCCGAGTCACGAGTGCATCCAGAACATAATTCAATCAGATTGACCATTTTTTTTTTACATTTCTCTGATATGTCAGGAGAAAAATTGATTGATTTTGAATTGAACTGTGAAATTTTAATGAGGAATTCAATTTAAGGAAGTCTATTTGATTTAATTATTTTTTCCGTACTGCTTCTCACGACTTCTCGTCTGGCATTTGGTACCACATACTTCGCAAACTCGACTAAAATCTGAGAAAAACTTGTGAATCAGCCCAAAAACTGGTGAAGGCTGCAAATTATTCGAAAAATTTCACACGGGCGGGGGGAGAAAATTTCGAAAATTTGAAAATTCAAATTGTATTTAAAATAAATAAATATTAAAATAAGCTCGTTCTTACCTCCTGGGATGACATTGCCAGCTCCTTGGGCGCCATAACCGAGTTCAGGTGGAATCACCAATTTTCTCTTCTCTCCAACGCACATGTCAACAAGTCCCTGATCCCATCCCTTGATCACTTGTCCAACTCCAAGTTGAAACGTGAAGGGCTGCTCCCTGTCCAAACTGCAATATAAAATTGAAAAAATCATTAATAAAATGAATAATAATAAATAATAGTATCGATTTACTCATAAAGTCTATCATTATCAAATGATCATTATCATTCGGGCCTTACATTTGTTAAAAAATCCCCCGAGTTTTATTCACCCCAGCAGAATATTTTTTTCACATTTGATTCCCCGGATTTCAGTGTAAAAGAACTATATCATGAATACTGGCAAAGTGGTAGTTGCCTGCAGGAAACATTTCGGAAGTAATTGAAGCACTACTCCCCAAATGTACACTCAAATTCAGATGTTTTGAAAACCTTTCAAAAATTCAAGCTAAACCAAATATTTTTCCTCGCTCCCATCGAAAAACTCTACCCCAACAGCATTTATTTTTCTCCATGAATCAGCAGAAAAAAAAAAGTACTCAACGGTAATCTCGCGTGTTGTTTTCATCAAAGATTAAGTAATCCTAAACTTTTAACGATGTTTGATCATAAATAAATTTTACGAGATTTCTCCTGCGGCCACCTCCTTCCAGCACCCCAAGTACCCTTGTGTCATTTAATTATTTCATCAACTAGCCTTGTTTACGAGCCACAACTTGGCAGAAACCGAGAGCTTATCCCTTACCAGCCTATATACAGGGGTGAACTGCGTTGGACTGACATTTACTAGACTTCCAAGGTGATAAAGAGAGATAGACAACGAGGGAGTTTACTGTCGACCTGACCGTTCACCGTATTTCAACATTTCTGGAGAAATTGCCTGGAATATCCGCTAATTCTCGGCTTCAAACTGTTTTCGCAATGATTAACTATAAACACTATTCAATAAAAAAAAAAACACGAGGGGACATCCACACTGAGAGAAAATAATTATCTGAATAAAAATGTCATCTAAAACTGAAAATAATTTTTTTTTTCAAATCTAGAAATGTAAAATAATAAAAAAATATGTTATATAAAAATATGTTATATGTATAAAAGTAAAAACATATTATTATATGATTTATTATATATTCACCTATACGTATGAGTGGAAAATAAAAAAGTAATGAGTAACATTTTTTCTCAGTCCATCAATACTTTTGCAATTCAATCCGGAGTTTTTTGTTGATATGTAAACAAATGAATTATCAAAACTCCGAGAATGGTTCGGGATTGATAAATTTCATAGTTATAAATAATTTGTATCCACGGTGCAGTTGAATAAGTGCTGAATACATTGAAACCAAACTTTTATAAAATATCAAAGGGCGCAACTGTTATAGTTGCTGACTGCACGAATAACCCCGGAAAATTTTCGTCTCCAAACTCCGAGTTACGAACAATTGTTGTCCCATTGTTTTGCC